GGCGGGGAGGTGCATCTCATAGAAGCATATAATATCCTGTTGGGACTGGACAGGCTAGATGCAGGAAGAATGTTCCCGATATTGGGGAAATCTAGAACTACAGGTCACAGTCTAAGATTAAGGGGTAAACCATTCAGGACTGAGATGTGGAAGAATTTTTTTCACTCAGAGAGTTGTGAACCTGTGGAATTCTCTCCCATAGAAAGCTACTGGGGCCAGTTTGTTGGATATATTCAAGAGAGAGTTGGACATGGCCCTTGCGGCTAAAGGGATTAAGAGGTATGGACAGAAAGCAAGAGTGGGATACTGAAATTGCATGATCTACCATGATCATATTGAATGATGGTGCAGGCTTGAAGGGACGAATGGCTTACTCCTGCATCTATTTTCTATGTTTCTTAAGGAGCAATTCATGTATTGCCACTCGTGCGTTCTCTCCCCACATTCCCCACTTCAAATATTTTCAATATTTAGAAAATGTGTGTTGTAGAAGGAAGCCACTCGGCCCATCATGTCAGTGCTGGCTGATAGATAAACCATCTGACCTAATATCATTTTCCAGCACATGGTCCTTGTCCCTGGAGATCACAGGATTTCAAATGCATATCAGGGCAAACCACTTAAGACTGAGATGAGGAGCAATGTCTTCACACAGAGGGTAGAGAATTCCCTACCTCAGAGGGTTGCAGAAGTTCGGTCATTATGTTCAAGATAGAGATTAATAAATTTCTAGATACCAATGACAGTAAGGGATATGGGGATAGTTTGGGAGGAAATGGATTTGAGATAGATGATTATCCATGCCCTGGGACAGTGGAGTAGATGCAAGGGGCTGATGACCTCCTCCTGCTCCTATCCAGATGCTTTTTAAATAACTTGAAGGTTTCATGAATGTGAACCCATTGTTCAGTGATCCAGATGTTGAGGATTCAGTAACCAGTTTTGAATAAGTTGGATGTTGTAGCGGTAATACTGAGTGGAATTAATTTGTTGGTTTTGACCATCCTGGAGATTTGGCCTTATGCAGTGGGTGGTGCTTTTCTCAGATTGTCTTTTCTGATATTCCTAGTTTCTGAGTCAACTGTGCTACTTTCTATGAAAAATAGGCATCTCTGGTCATCTGAAGTAAAATTCACTAATCTGTTATTATTTCATTCATGGTTTACTGATCCTACCATGTGAGCTGTGATGTGTTTTATTTGGTACATTTGGCTGAGTATAACTTTGGCAGGAAGAATAGAAAAGTAGAGTATTATCTAAATGGAGAGACTACAGCAAGTTGCAATACAATGGATCTTAGGGGAGGTGGTGTCTTTGTGGTATTGTCAGTGGGCTTGTAACCCCAAGGCCCAGGCTAATGTTCTGAGTTTGCGGCACAATGAATTTTGAATCAATTCAATAATATTTGGAATTAAAAGTTCGTCTAATGATGACCATGAAACTAATGCTGTATATCGTAAACAAGGTTCCCTTAAGCTGCATGGTTGCTCTGAGGGTTACTCTGATGTTCTGTCCACACCAAGTGGTGAGCTGACACAAAAATAAAGAGGGAGCGTTAATTGTATAGAGCCATATGGTTTACCTCCTTGACCTGACACATGTCTGTCTTCTCTCCCACCTATCCGTTCCTCCCACCTCACTGACCAATCCCCACGACTGCCTACCTGCACTCACCTATCACCATCCTACCTACCTTCCCCAGCCCCACCCCTCCTCTCTCTATTTATTTCAGAGCTCCCTACCCCCTCTCCCATTTCTGAAGAAGGGTCCCGACCCGAAACATCAGCTTTCCTGCTCCTCTGATGCTGCCTGGCCTGCTGTGTTCCTCCAGCTCCACACTGTGTTATCGCTGACTCCAGCATCTGCAGTTCTTACTATCTCTGTTATGGTTTGCCAATGTCCTTTAGGTGAGGAAACTGCCATCCATAGCTGGTCTGGTCTATACGTGACTCTAGACCCACAGCAATATATTTGACTGTTAACTGCCTTCTGAAATGACCTTGTGCATGCCACTCAGTTTAAGGGCAATTTGAAGTTTAACAAATGCTGGCCTAGCCAGTGACACTCACCCCCGACAAAAATAAAATGTGTGCCCTTATACCTGATTTACAAACATTAAAAAGAGGACACGGCAAATAGGAAAGTAAATGGAATGTTAGCCTTAGTTACAAGTGGGAGGGAGTATAAAGTTAGAGATGTCTTGCTACAGATACACAGAGCATGTGTATCCGTGTGTGTGTGTGTATAATGTGTATAATTCTGACCTCCTTACCTAAGGAAGGAAATACTCGCATTTGAAGCAGTTCAGAGTTGGTTTAATGGGCTGATTTCTGGGAAGGAAATGTTTTTTTTAATGACGGTGCGTTGAACAAGTTAGACCTGTTCAATTGGAGCTTAGAAGAATGAAAGATGTTCTTACTGAAACATATTAAGAGGGAACTTGATGGGGTGGATGCTGAGAGGATGTTACACCTCATGGAAAGGAAATCTAGAACCACTGGCACAGTTTAGAAATATGGGGTCTCCGAAATATATATGAGAAGTAATTTCTTCTCTCAGACAGTAAACAGTGTTTTGAATTCTCTTCCCTCAAGAGCAGTGAAGGCTGGGCCATTGAACATATTCAAAGTTGAATATGGCAGTCAGATTTTTGATTTAAGAGGGAGTCAAGCATTATGGGGACAGGGACAGTCAGGCAAGTGGGATCAAACCCACACTTAGATCAGACATGGTCTTATTAAATAGAAGTTCAAGGGGCTGATTTGTCTATTTCTTATGATGTCCTGTTCAGATCTGCAGAGTGTATGATTTCCAAATGTTATTACAGAGCTTCCCCAATGGTAGTTAATTATCTGGTGACTGTGTAGTGAGGTGTGGTACGCAATAGTTCAATACATCTGCAAGGCCAATGCTGATAAATGTGTTGAAACTTTAGATCTCAGAGGATTCTAAAATGGGGCAATTATTGGCTTTAAGATCTTTACAACAAGTTCATCATCTCTATTGCTTCCGAAAGATATATCTATTGGAAAGAAGGGAGAGAGGAACAACCAAGTCTTCTTGCAATGGTGGATGTTGTAGCCAAAGTGGTATTGGGAGATTGCAATGGATCAAAGTTTTGGAGAAGATTTGTAGCTCGGTTTGTGGATGATGTTGTTGACATGTTCGCCAAGCTGGTGGGTTTGGTTGCAAATTCTTCTTTGGTGAATTTTATCCCAGTAAGGATCTTGCTTATGTGTCGGTGGGTTTCTTCTAGTTTTGTACGATTACTAATCACAAAGGTGTCATCTACTGGTTTGCAGACAAACCCATCAGCTCGGCAAGCATGTCTACAACCTCAATGCAACGGATTCTTTGTCCCTAGACCAGGAAATGGAGAAAAATATATCAGTTGGCTTTCCTGCTGATACATGTGCACACCAATATCAGGTGGTAAAATACTAGAACTAGGGGGCATAGTGTCAAAATAAGGGGGAGCAGATTTAGGATTGAGCTGAGGAGGAAGTTCTTTTCTCAAAGGGTCGTGAACTGTGGAATTCCTTGCCCAGTGAAGCAGTGAGGCTGCCCTGTTGAACCTTATTTAGGCAAAGATAGAAAGATATTTGAATAGTCAGGGGATTAAGTGTTATAGTGAGCAGGCAGGTAAGTGGAGCCGAGTCCATGAGAAAGATCAGCCATGCTCTTATTGAATGGCAGAGCAGGCTTGATGGCTTGCTCCTTCTCCTTTTTCTTATGTTTTTATGTCCTTATAGAAGGGCGCTCTAAGCTTTCTAATCACAGTCATAAAGCTTGCTCCTGCTCTGTCTAAACTTGTGAAAATGGCTACTTGGGTGATGGTTCATAGAAAGGGCTCAATGTTTGTGAAAATATACATCAGTAGAAAATGCCCTTGTCTTAAGGCTTGGAAAGGATATATTTTTGGTCAGGAATCCCTGCGTTGACTGGACAGATGGTGAGAAATACTAGTGGTCCATATCGCTGAGATCTGGTCAACTCACCTGTTTCAAAACACAATAATTGGAGTCCTCAAACACAGTGTACATTAAAGAGATGAGCCAGTGTTTATTTGGTTTGATTTCATCCACAGGATCTCTGTGTTCTTTCACTCCAGTAACTGCATTGTGTTGTGTCAGCTGCACAGAACATAAATGACAAGTACACGCAAGAACTTTTCTTATTTAGATTTACAATTATTTACATATAACAGAATATATGTTCACTGACATTTGAGCCAAGTTTAATAAAGTTATTAAAAATAAACTTGCTTCCTTTAAAAAAAACAAACATGAGAAGCCAAGTTAAGTGACATCACAGAATATATTATATACCATTACTGTAGAACGCCCTATCGGAAGGAATTGTTTTTGCGCATTTTCCAGCACACAATTTAGATTTTTTTTTCAATATTCTTTTAATAAAAGTAACAGCAACAACAACAAAAAGTTTTTTTTATTAAAAAACACGACTTTAACAAATTATACAACCTTTTCTTCCAAAGCTATTTAATTTATAAGGATAAAAATAAAAAAAAAACAAAAAAGCAGTCTGAGGGGTAGACCACATTAACTATTAATGCATTCTAATATAAAATACAATGCAAGTTTTAAAAAAAAATTCTACAGAAGAGACTGAGTAATTTTTAAAGGAGATCCCTATTCATCTGAATTGAGGTGTAATGCTTAACACTATAAAGCCTGTACACTTGCTGGTGTTGTCTCTCAGGTATCTCCTATGCTCTTGGTTAGAAGTTTGTATTCCATGATCATTTTATACCTGTATTGCATTCCATAATTTGTGAAGGATTTTGTCAGCTAGAAGATACAGTTAGGAAGAGGATCAGAGGACAGTACAGTTCAGCAATTGAGGCAAGAGTGCAATGGAGGGCATTCACACTCTATTTGAAGCGATCTAACGTGAACTCTATTCTCTATTCATGGCAAGAGGCAGTAAGGAGCAAACATTTTTCAACTGAACGGCTTTGTCTTCTTGTGGGAGGTCTCTGTGGCACCTCATGTCCCATTCAGTCAGCCACTTGAACGAAACGTTATGTTGTCACGGAGACAGCAGGCTCAGCTTCATACAAAAGGGCCCCTGGTGTTCTGATGGACTCCTGTTGTAACTTCGATGAGGGTGCTGCAGTGAGCTGCAAAGTCCTTGGGAACAATTGTGTCATCTCCAACCATAAGGGTGGAGTTCTCCGCCTTTCCCAAATAAGGCAGTGATGTTAAGAATGGATAAGGGAGCAATGGCGGTGGTAGTGGGGATTGGTTGGGAACGGTTGCAACTGGGGAGGCCTGGAGTTCTTACGATCTGAGCATTAATCAAAGGCTGGTATAACGATTGGGACCTGGCTTAACTGGTCTGTCTGAAAGGCCCACGTTCGGGATCCAGGGGCAGTACGTGGTCTGAATAAATTCAGTTCTTTTTCTTAATGATAGTAGATTATTTTGTTGACACTCTTACAAAGAGAGAATTTTGAAGGATGCCCCAGGTTAGGGGGAAGAATACCCTGGATCTCATATTAGAGAAGGGCAAGATGCCCAAAATGTGATATTATGCTTATATTTTGTACGTCCTCTGTCACTGGGTCCATCCTATTACTTAAACAAACACAGAGAATGCTGGAAAAACTCAGCAGGTCGGGCAGTATCTGTGGAGCGAGAAACAGAGTTAACATTTCAAGTTCAGTACAACTCTTCCTCCATCCCCTTACTTAATTGAGCATGGACTGTTATCTCCAAAATAATTGTTCCCCAGTCACCACCATCTTGAAGCAGAGGAAGAAACATTAACTGAGAGTTGCAGTGCTAAGTGTACAACTGTCATCCTTTACAACCCTTAAGGTTATGTAGCAATTCAGGGGAATACAGTTCCCCCTTAAGTACCTATGTATCATACATAATGTCATGGGGACTTTTGTTGTAAGTACAAGGAAGTTGAATTATCATACTATATACAGCCTACAATAAATACTGTCTGTTGTAAGGGAAGTTATACTTTATATTAAAGAAATTCTATGATCTCGGAGCTTCATGTCTGCTGGAGGGGGGCTGAATGGTGATTTCTGCGGTTTCGTGGCTTTTTCTGTTCTCTGATGGGTTTTGCTTTGAGCTGTTTGTTCAAGTTCTCTTTTAGGACGTTGGTTGGTCGCTGCCAGTAATCCTCGCAGTACTGGTTGATGAGGCCCATTTCCGGCTGGCTAAGCAACTGCAGCAGGTCCTTGTACTCTGGCTTCGGGGTCCGAGGGGTCCCTGGGTTACCTGCCTGCAGGTTGGCCACACCTGGCGAGGGCACAACTTGCGAGAGCACCACGTGCACTGTCTCGTTGTTTAGGACCCTCAGGTGCACCCGGGCCAGCGCGTGCTTGAAGTTATTCTCTGTGGAGGTGCACTGATACACCCCAGCATCCGTCATCTGGAGGGATCGCAGGAGAAGACCTTGATCTGTCTTGAGGATCCGCTCGTCCACTTTGATCTGGAGAATAGCCAGGGAGAGAGAAAGAAACCACAGTGTAAATGGCGCCTTATTTATCAAATAAAAAGCAAAAGAACTGCGGATGCTGTAAATCGGGAACAAAAACAAAAGTTGCTGGAAAAGCTCAGCAGGTCTGGCAGCATCCGTGAAGGGAAAAAACAGAATTAACGTTTCTGGTCCGTTCTGAGGAAGGGTCACCGGACCCGAAACGTTAACTCTGTTTTTTCCTTCACAGATGCTGCCAGACCTGCTG